ACCCATGGGGGGGCTGCAGCATGGAGATCTGCTCCATGTGGGACCCATGGGCTGCAGGGGGACAGCCTGCTCCACTAGGGGCCTCTCCACAGGCCGTAGGGGAACTGCTGCTGTGTGCCTGGAACACCTCCTGCCCTCCTGCTGCACTGACCTTGGGGGCTGCAGGGCTGGTTCACATTCCTCTCTCCTGGCTGCTGTTGCACAGCATTTTTTCCCCCCCCTTCTTAACTCTGCTCTCCAGAGGTTGAACCAGTGTCACTCACTGGCTCAGCTCTGGTCAACATCAGTTCCCTTTGGAGGCGTCTGGAGCTGGCCCTTACCTAAGATGAGGCAGCTGCTGGATTCTCCTCAGAGAGGCTATGCCTGCAGCACCCAGCTACCAAAACCTTGTCATGTAAACCCCATACACTAAGGAGTTTTAATACAATGGTGTTTAGGCTAACTACGCGTTAGATACATTAAGTGTGCTGAACTGACTTTCTGGGCTCCTGCCCTAAATGTTTGCACCTAAGAATCACCAAACTCCCAGGTAAGGGTAACACAGTCGTGACTCAAATCTTTCAATGCTTACAAAGAAGATACTTATTTTTTCTATTGAAAATAATTTTGTGTTCTTGGCTTCTGCCCACTTCAAGGACTGACATTTGGAATTGGAGAATTCTTTTGCAGGTCAGAAATCTAAGACATAGCTGGTATCTGGTAAATATTGCACACTTCTGGTATTTCATTTGAGTTAGTAAAGTGACTGAGAATAGGAAAATTCATACACTTTTATCTGAAGAAATGCTACAACGACCATGTTAACTCTAACTTTACAAAGCTTAAAATACCTGGAAAAAGTGAACTGACATAGAACTGCTGAGATAGTGACTATAATGCCAGAAACTCCACTGACAGATTATGGCTTTCATGCCTCACTAATAGATAAAGACTCAAGCTTTGGTTAAACTGATAAGGATTCTCCAATTTAGTGAACTATGCTTGTCTGCTTCATGGGAGCCCTTCTATATGGATAACAAAAAGAAATTAAAAAAGGAAACTTTGCCTAAATGACATTTGAACATAATTTAGGATCATTAAAAAAAAAATGGGGGGAGGAAGGGAGGAAGACAAGCCACACTGCTGATGCTCTTGTATCTGAAATAAGTGTGCAATTTATAAGGCAGTGTGTGACAGTGAGTTACGGCAGACTACTACTCATTTTAGTGTCAGGCATCTTAACAAAGTGCTTGAAAGACTGCACCACCTGAGATTTTTGATCATATAGAAGTACAGTTCTTTAGGACTTGTTTCTGTTTCATCATGGCTGAAGATAATGATAATAGTTTTACTGATAAATGGACAAAAGTTCTCTCAAAAATCCAGCCTGGGAAAGGATCAAGAAGTCTTCCTTAAGATGTAGGAAATGCTCACCATTTACTGATGTAGCCTTATCACTGTAGTAAAGTTTAGGTAATTAATATACTCTGAGAAGCTGGCGAAATAAATAGAGGATATGGGTTGGGCAAGACACTTTATAATCCCCTGCTGAGTTGCGTGAAGCATCAACAGTCTTTGAAGCTCTGTGCTGTGGTGCATGTGGAGTAAATGCACGTTTGTTCTATAGAAAAACATGCATTTGGTGAATTCTATCATGGCTAATAGAGGAGCATTAGCAGAGTGTAAGCAGAGCACATCTGTTCCAAAATCAATTATTTTCTTGTCGAGGCATAAGGGTCGTAGTCTGACTGCATGCAACATGGATAAAGTAATGCCCTGAGGACAAACTGTCAGAAAACTAGGCACCATTTCACAATTTTTTAGGGTGCTTGGCAAGTCTCTTGGCTCAGAATTTCAGATTCAAAGCGAACTCAGATATCATGGCAGGGGTTAAGGGCAGGGGCAAATTAAGTTGTGTGTGTTTAAGATAGGGAATATACCAGACTCTTGTAAAGGACGGAAGTCTGACAGAAGTCAGACAAAGGGAATCTGTACAAGGATGTGGAACAGGTGTATACAGAGGGTTAATAAAAGCCTATCAGATACCCCTGACTGAGGTAGTAAATATATTACAAGTGATGGGGATGGAGGAAATAAGCAAGGGGAAATACCATATTCTTAACCAAGTCTTATATCCTTACTTGGGCAACCAAGCTTGTCTGCTGTCAGAGGCTACTTGGTTAGTGGAATGTTTTGCATAACCTGGTGCAATCATTATTTTTTTTGTCCCCATTCTGCAAGATATATATATTAAAACCATATTTTTAAGGCTGTCAGTCTCATCCACAACATTTTTCTGAATTTGTTGTTGGCTGTTCTTTGTAATGTCAAGTATTCCCTGTCCCAAGATATGCCTCTGCTTCTCTATTTTTGGTTTCACAGACTACTTTCAACAGAAATTTAAATGTTTTAAGTGCAACCACTTCTGTTCCTCAGAAAAGTGTCACTCACTCGCAAGAGAGAATACTGATCTTCATAATATGATTGGGTTACTGCTTCTTCCTGTGACTTAGAAGAACCTTCTAACATATCTTTTAACATGTTCTGACACTCCATAACACTTTTTTTTTCTTTTTTTCTGCCCGATAGAGATTTATAATAAGCATGTGCTTCAATCACAATGAGAAGAGATTTTGAGGAATGAAAAAAATTTGATCAACCTTGAAGGCTACAGCCTAGAATTCAAAAAGTAGAGAAATAACATGAATAAAAGAAAAATATTGATATGTTTATAGCAAATAAAACAGAGACAAAAAGTTTTTTTTCAGTATAAATAAATAGAAAAATAAGAAATATGTAAATAGAGATGCAAGAATTACAGGCATTGCACAGATAACAAGAAGTCAAGACTGAAGACGATTTAGATATTGCAATAAAGGAAGAAATGTTTTTCTTTCACATAGGACAATGAGGTTGAGGATAGAGGGAGAAGACACTTAGATGGCTAAGATGAAGAAGATTATGGAAATTGTTACATCTAAAAAAGCATATGCTGAGGGGGGATTTAATTTATTTATTTTTCATTAGAAGGCAGAAAATTTGTAGTGTAAAAGGACAGTTTTGACACAAGAATAAATGGGAAAACCATGAAAGTATTTAAACTGTCAGTTGGGTTTATAAATGTGTGAGACTCTGTGAAATATTTCTAACAGGAGAGGAAATTAAAGGAACTTGAAAGCTAAGGCTGACATTACTATACTAATTAAGGTAAATTCCTGTAAGCAGGAGTATCTAAGCTACATTTATAAATGGAGATTTCTCTCCATTTAGGAAAATGGAAGTTTGTGTTCTGTGTTGTGTTTTCATATGAAAGAAGCTTGAGAATAGTTTCACTTTGGAAAGCCACTTTGAATTAGTTTAATTCAAACTTTAATCAGAAAGGGAAAAGATGTTTGCATGGCATAGCTACTAGTGTATAATATAGCTGCCTCTTTCAGGAAACCTGTTTTATACACAGTTGTCTGGGGGATGCTCTAGAGAACAATTTAGCACACCAGATTTAAAATCCCCAGTTAGTCCCTGAAGAAGCCTTTTTTTTTTTTCCTATGAATGGAGTTGAGCTTCCTACTTCGGGGCCTATATTAGTCCTGTAAAATCCAACGTCTGAATTGCCCTGTCAGGCTGTAGTTTAAAAATGGCATAACAATAAGTAAGGGCTAGACTACAAAACCTTTAAATCATATGCATAATGATACATTTCATTTCTTTATGTTTTATCATACCAGAGCTGATCTGTGCAATTCACTGTAGTCTGATAATGCTGAGAATTCAATGAGATGTAATTTATAAGTGAAACTACTACTCCTGCAAGAATCCTCTGGAAAACATAAGAACTTTTACCTTTACCCTACAAGTTTTCAGTTCTCCTATATAAAAATATATAGCCAAAGTAAATTAAGGAATTTTTAGCAATACCCCCATTAGTGTGGTCAGCTTCTGCACTACTTTTGATTCTTTAACTCTTCTTGTTTTCAGATCTCTGATGGATTGTTTATCCAGTTATTATCCAGACATACTTTGTGTATGATGATGTACTTTTATTCCTTCTATATTACTTTCGGTTGCACATGTCAAGCATTTCCTTATATTTATTTGTTTTTGTTGTTGTTATCCATTATAATTTGTTATGTAGCCAAATTTTTTAATAGTGCATTGCTCAGGGTTCATTAGATATTGATCTCTATTATCATCAGGTGCTTTAAGACATTTTTCATGGTCTGAATTTATTTCTGAGGCATTCTTTTTTTTGGGGGTAGGTATTCTAAAGTACTGATGATTGTTTTGATTGGCGTATATTGAAGAATTTTTAATTTACTTTTGTTGTTGTTGTTCTAAACTAGAGTGTTACTCAGCAGAACTTCTGGAATTCAAGACCTCTGTTATTATTTCATTAGACAAATACCAACTATCTTAGAAACAGTGATTAAAAAAATCATAAAACTTGAAGTTCCGGTAATGACCTGCAAAATTATAAATGAAACAAGTTAATATTCTCAAAATGTTCACCAAAAAAGCAGGAGATTAGTAGATTTAATCTAATTTTCTATCCACAGTAAAAAACACTTAGTCTGGTTGACAGTAAATATTTTTGAAACAAGACAATGTCATATTATTTTGAGATGCTCAAGAACGTAGTAAGGGACAAATACAACCACACAGGGTTAAATTCTTCTTCTTCAGAAGGAAAACAGACCTAAAATATTCCTAAAGGTCACATGCCATCTCTTTAGACCATTTAAGTCTTCTGAAATGCCACTCTGAAGTGAAATAACTACCTCTTCAGAAGAGTCATTCTGCTAGAGAGCCAACTAACACCAGTACGAAGATAAACGGGAGTGCAGAGAATTGATTTTACACTTGTACTTGTAAGTGTGGTCAAATGTTGTAGACCAGTACCTCAAATAGGATTATATAATATTTCTGTGCCTTAAAATAATAACAAAGAGAACATAGTTAAGTACAACTTAATATATCTTTTTTTAAAAAAAATAAACAAACAAAAAAACAGCTTTATATTAAAATGTCCACTTACTAGTTTTATTTGCAATGTGGTACAAGTTCACTTTCTTCATATTTTCTCTGTGTGTAATAATTATAAAGAAACTGACCTTTTTCCTTTATCAATCATATCTTCTCATTCAACAGTTTCTCTTACTGCAAATTATCTCCTGTAGTATCAAAGGTAAAAAAAAATGCATATTTTTTTCAAGCAAGACTGACAAAACCTTAATACAGTACGAAGACAGACTTTGTTATATTCCAGCTTAAATATTTTTCAGCAAGGCTGTTTTAGCATAGAAAGACTGTTGAAATTAAATAAAAGAAGTATTTACACAAATCAGATTTGACTGCAGCAGATCTGTTAGTAGTCCTGAGTAAGCTTCTGGCTGCAAGCCTGTTTTTACTCCTCTTTTATTTCTATTTCAGGTGTTTCTGATTTGAGTAAGCTCATGTCTGTTTTGGCTCCTTGCCTTAGCTGTTACTGGTTAAGCTACAGTACTATCCAGCTGGGACCTGCCATCTCTTCAAGTGTTTCAGACCTCATTATGGTTGAGTAACAGCAAGAACAATTAATCCAATATTCTATTACTTTCTTCTCCATGCACTGTTAAATAGTTTCCAGGGTATGTAGGCAGCAGGACAATGACATTTTGAAAAACCTTAGTGCATTCCCAGCAGCTTTAAAAAAAAAAAAAAAAAAAAAAGTATTTGGCTTTACATTCTTTCCCACCAAGAAATTAGGAGTATTCACAACAACCCTAGTGTAGTTCAACAAACACCCTACTGTATGTATAGTGTTACTGAGAAAAGAATTCCTTCAATAAATTTAACGCTGATAAGTTAAAGTAATCAAGCTAAACTAAGCATGTATTCAGGTATGTATATTTGAGGTGTTATATTGGATTTGATACTTGGTGAATGTTTTCTTCCAAAAATGAGCAGGAGAGTGGAAAAGAAATGTGATATTTTTTATGTTCCATTCTTTGGCACTGTTGGATATCTTGGTTTTCTTTTCCCATTCAATTAAAAGAATAATCTACTAGAGCAGAAACTCTAGAAAAAATAGGAAATTAAAATGGAGTATGCCATTTAAGCTAAAAGAAGATGTTGCTCAACAAATGAAAGTCCTTTTCAGTATATCTAAACATAGACTTAGTCTCACCTTTAGACATATGATTCTTCTTACTAACAGTGATCCAAATGACTCCTTTCAATTGTGCTTTTGGGATATGAATAAAAATGGAGGAAATGATTATGTTAATTCTAGTCAGGCAATTCTTTAGACAATTTGTACTCTTCCAGAATAGAGCTATAATATTGTTGGTAAAATGAAGCTAACAGATGATGAGCAATTAAAAAAGACAGTGTGGTTGATGAAAGTTCCAAAGCCTCCAGGTGTAATATAACACTCTAATTTGGTAAAAAGCATCCCAATAATAACAGTACACTTACAATGCACCATTCATTTAAAAAGGGGAAAAGAAAAATGTGGAATATTCAGGGTTAATATAAAGAGAGAAATATAGTTTCTCTTTCAGAAGTCTATTGCTAATAAGTTTCTTTTGCTTTACATTATAGGTCCCTAGTACTTGTCAAAATTAATAGATTAATATTTTAAAACGAAACATGATTTTGCATATAGATTCTTTATTTCACATAAAAGTACATCTGGGTACAGTTTCAAATGCATAAAAGCAATCAGCCTTTCAAAGGAAGATACCTGCTACCCAAAGAGAATTAATGAGAGTCAGGGTTCCTTTTCAAATGTGTCTTGGCAAGTATCCTATATTGTTCATCTTCAGTGAAGAATGATTTCATGCACTGTTATGAACACATTTACAGAGTGGTTCACATCTACAAAACCTTAACTGTTGCAAAGGAATGAGGCTATTTGCTTCTTTCTCTTCTTCCTGCCTTTTATCACTTTAACAGAACTGGACTTCGCAATGCAAACTTCAAAATAGATGCGGCTCAGAGGTTTACATTCTCTCTTCACTACAGGATGGTGATATGATTTTTTTACAGGTTCAAATGATTTTAGAAAGGAAAGTTATAAACAACAAAATTCCAAGGAAGAAAAAACCATAACCTAGTCTTTGAAAAATAAAATAAATTAGCATAAAACAAAACCTGAAGTAAATTCTTCCTTTGGAGACAAAGAACTCTTTTTCATGCTAATTCTTAACTTGCACTATGCTAACATGCAAGGTGATGGTGAGTGGGTGGGTTAATGCACAGCACTGTTTTTTGATGAAGTGTGCCACACATAGAGTCACAAACAACTCTCCAGTACTTGAAATTCACGTTTATAAAGGGCACAGGGCAAGTAATGCAGCTCTGAGATGAATTAAAACCTAACCCACTGCGTATACAGTGGAAGGACTCACCCTTACACTCAGCTAGCTGTGAGTCCAAAAAATCCAAGAGTATACATGCTCTTTCGGTTTGTTTGTAATAGGACTGTTTTAATAAACACTGGATAGCAGCCATGCTTAAAGACCAAAATGAAACAAAACAAAACAAATAAATGAAAAAAACCAACCTCTCTCCCTTAAAAAAAAATAAAAAGGGTACAAAAGGTAGACCTATTAGTTATTGCTTGTAGGAGGTATTAGATCAATATAAATATCAACATTTAACAATTACTGCAGTGAATGTAGTTTTTTCATTGTGAAATTTGTACATGTGCAAACTGGGAGGAAAGGAGTACAGGGAAACTTATGGATATTGAATAAAATATTCTCATTTTAGCTAACTGGCATACTGCCATCTCGCCATTTTCTCAATTTTCAGCTTTCCTGAACTTGTTATCATTCCTAAAGGTTTATTCCTTCTTCCTCCTATTACCACAAAAACACATAGTCCTTTCATATTTTTTTTTGGTAGAAATAGCAACAGTGTTTGCAATGTTATCACCCTAAATCTGCTCTTCATCTTGCTCTCATTCAATATTACCCCTATCCCTGCAAAAAGAACATTAAAAATAAAAGGCTGCCACATTTCTAGCTTCTCCATAAACAGTCTACTGGTTCAATGAGCAGAAATTATCCTGGGACAAAATCCTGCTGAAGCTGGTGCCCTTCTGGAGCTTGCAGAGGGAAAACTGAAATGAACGGTTTCTGTTACTTAGCCCTACTTGCACTTCTGAGGTCTAAGATTATATTGATTCTGGTTTCATCCTGCAAAATTTGTTTGCTCTTAATTTTAAAGGAGATGCCCTTATTCAACATTTATAACCATAGAATAATTGTCTTGTCTTTAGTGTTATTTACTAATTTTGGTTTACTGGTGAACAGGACACCTTAAAACAAGTAATTAGATTTAGAAACATAATTAAAATTAATTAACATACATATTGCCCTTAAGGCCCAATATTGTCATGCTCTCTCAATCTTGCTTATTTTGTTCCGATTTAGGTTTTGTACAAAATTCCTGACAAATTACAATAGTTTAGATCAAACTGATCACATTTTTAAATGTGAAAGGTAACTAGAAGGTAACTGATTGATGTCTGCTGAAGCCTCAGTTATTAAACTCATATTAGAGTGCATTCCAATGGAACAATGAACAATGGTTGCTTTTCAATAAAGGAATCTTCAAAGTCTTTTTAACCTCTGCACCCCCCATATAGGTTCATTTTTTAGTAATATTTTTGCAGTGTTATTTATAGTAACACTGCAGTAATGACACATCACAGTCCAATCTGTTTCTCTCTGAAAATGCCCAAAATAAAAGCCTTAAAATGTGTATGCTGGCCTGTGCAATTACTGCACTGTACCATCAGCCTGGAAAAAAATCACAAAATAATGACCTGTTAATTCAGGTCTAGAGCACATAAAAAGGAAAAGCTCAGGGAAAAGAAGATAATCTGTTAACATCCAGCTGAGAAAAAGAATAGCTATAAAAGGTGGCACCAGCTCAGTTGTTTATTTATTCATAGATGCTAACCAAATAAGCTAGAACTGTCACAGCGGGTTTTCCTTACACACTTATCATATACTTTTTAGTAAGTTTCCTATAAGATAAAAATAAATCAGAATCATATTAGCTTGCTTGTAGAGTAAGAAAGTTAACAGCAAAGAGACTATATCTAGATCCTTGTGTTGACTCTAAGAGATCTTATTTTAGGATTGTGGCCAAATGTCCAACATAACCATTTTAGAAACAGGTCCACAATAAAGCTCTGAGCCCAAAGAGCTGCAGCCTTTGAGAAAGTTAAAATGAAGTTATTGATCTAAAGTAAATTAAATTCTGTAGCAAAGTGTTCAGTGCAAGACTGACCCAGTAGAGACAATATTCTTTATATTTTCAGAAACTAGTCTGTAGTGAATAATGAGCTAATACTTTCTGTTTCAAAGTTATATGAACATAAAGATACAAGTCTTAATCATTTGGAAGCTGATATTGGGATATAATTTTTTTTTTTTTTTAAACTAGACAAGTGCAGCCTTTAAATGCTCTTTTTATATTTTTTTTTGGGGGGGGGGGGGAGGGGGAAGGTGGAAATCTATGAAAATTTGCAGCTTTCTAATTATTTATACATTCTGCACTCTCTGGAAGATATTCCCTGGTTATTTTGATATGTGCTGAACCATGATACGGATTTTTGAAAGGGATAAGTGGAAAGTAATCTCTGTTTCTGGGAAAACCCATTCTTTCAACTGAATGTTTACACAGTATGCATCTAATGATAACTTTTATTGCTAGAACATGGAGATACTTTGTAAGAGCTTTTTTTTTCCCTGAGGTATATTAGATTGCACAAAGTGGCATTTAATTCATACTTGATTCATATTCAAAGCAAAATAGATGCCCATAGCATAGCTTCCTTGTAAGACAGCATTCTGTCATCTTCTATGCATTTATATGATTGCTAAGACATGGTATCTCCAAGATCTGTGAATCTGGGGTATCGCAACATTCCCCCCCCCCCCCCCCCCACACACACACCTTTTTTTTTTTTTTTCTCACATTTTTCGTAATGAATCAGACACCATCAGCAACTGGCATAATGTATTTGGTTTATGTGGCAAGGTTTTGGTAGCTGAGGGGCTGCAGAGATGGTCTCTGTGGGACAGAGCTGAAACAGGGAAAGACACTAGGTGGGCCTCTGCTACAGCAGAGTTAAGAAAGAGAAAAACAAAAAAAAAAAAACAAAAACAAAACAAAAAAAAAAAACAAACAAACAACAACAAAAAAAAAAACAGCAGCTAGGAGAGAGGAGTGAGAAAATGTAAGTAGAAACAAGCCTAAAGGCTACATCAAGGTTGCAGAAGAAGGTACTTCGCTAGGTACTCCAGGCACCGGAGCAAAAGTTCACCTGCAGCCTGTGGAGAGGTCCCTGGTGGAGCAGGCTGTACCCCTGCAGCCCATGGGTCCCACATGGAGCAGATCTCCATGCTG